GGTTCATTTAGACACCTGTCAAATCCCGTTGAAGCTCCGCCACTGGTACCCAGTACATTTCTACTTGGGTGCCAAATATATTAGAAGGTGGAAAAAACAAAACCGCAACTGTTTTGGCCACAAGAACAATTGTTTGATATGTGGTATATATAAGACCAATAACATGTTTAATATGTCCCAGCCATCATGATGACAAAATTTCCTTCTAACTTTATTGAACATCTGAAGTTCCAAAAACCTTGTGTGTTTTCACTACTCCAGACTCACATATTCATGATGGAAAGATGAGTAATTCATACAAACCCCTTTTCTTTTTCCCAAGAATGCAAATCAAGGCCACACTTTTGAGAACGTATATTTCGCATAACTATGATATCTGTGACATAACAAGTGCACAAAACCATACTTTTAAGTATGGATTTGACATAACTTGCACCTTCTTAGATATAGCTTTGCCAGCTTGTTAGCATTTATATTCTGTAGAAAACAACTTTCCACATAATACAATGCTAACAAGCTGACATTAAGCATTGGATAGCTAGTGGGCCTAGTTTTTCAACACCACCACAAATGCTAAAACCTTGGCTTTCTAATATGCTATGTAAAATGTGTTTTTTTACAAATTGTTTTGCTAAAATGTATTTTTATGAGAAATCTCTGGAAATATTGATAGATTTGTAGATGTAGAATGGCTTAAGAAACAATTGCTCCAGGCTAAAACAACACCATAGCCTTGTTAATTGTTAACCACTTAAGTTCGTAAACAAGAAATTAAGATAAAATCCTACGATTGAAACTGCAATTACAAGATACATCTCCTACTTAGGGCATCTCCAACTCAGTCCATCAACACGCCCCTAAATATCCAGACCGCGCGGTCCGAACACTTTGTGCCATCCAGCGTCGTGCAGCAAATGTCTGCAGACCGGTCCGCACATCTGAATTCCCGCAAATCGGAAGCAAAGCTGGGGATGGTTTGCGGATGTTTGGACAGCCGCCACGTCAGACTCGGACACCACCCACACAAAAACCCAACTCGGAGCCCCGCTTTTCTCAATCCGTCCCTCCGCCCTTGTTGTGTATTTGCGTAGTCCGAGACCGACGTTGCCGCTGTACCACCTACTCCGCCGCCCAGACCTTGTCGGACCTCCATCGCTCCAGCCAGGCTCCAGCCCCGACTTGCCTACACCTCCCTTCCATCCTTGGTCTGGCCGCCGCCCAGGTACCCTCCGCCCCTGCACATTTCTTTCCATGGCGGACATCGTGCCTGGCAAGTGTTCGGCCAAATGCCATAGCCAAATTTATGGATGTTTTTGTTGTTTACTTTGAAGCAAACACGATGGATTCGGCCATGGAGTATTTCTATCGAACTTCCAAAGCATAATTTGGTGACGTTTCAGGAATTTATCCAAATGCATCAACAAATTCGGCATCGAGCAACTCATGAGCAGTTTCAGAATTATCTAGTTGAGCATTTGTTGACTATTCGAGGGGAGGAGTCAAAAATATATCCGAATAAGTTGAATACAATTTTGAATTATTTTATTGAAAGACTTCATGTTTGAATTGATATATTTATATTTGAATTGTTGTTGCATCAGAATATTTGCACAGCATAATTATGGACAAAGGCTGCCATTTATCTTTAATTATTTTATGTGCTCTGAATATAGGGAAAAAAAGACCAAGGGCGGACATTTGATGTATAGGGTTGGATGGCCTCCCCCTATACGTTGTCCACGGAGGCGTCTGGACGTGTCCTTGAACATTTGGGGTGTTCATCTTTTGATGGACGGCGTTGGAGATGCCCTTAGTAATTTGTAAGTCTATAACGCGCGTCTGAAAAAAATCTTCAGCCCATTATCTTCAAATGAGATTTCGTTAAAAAATAATCCCCGAGGCTGTCAAAACAGAAACAAACAAGCGTGTGTCTAGCTCTCAAGTAGATGAGAAATAAATATGTTTCATCTAACTTCTATACCGTTGGATTTTACCCGGAGATTTGTAGGTTTTTTCTTTTCTTTTGATTAATCAAGTAGTGTAGGAGTTAGATGAAACTTTGTTAATTTTCATCTCTATGTCAAACAAAAACGAACAAACAATACTATATTTACTTACCAGAAGTAATTCAACCAAGCTATCATATCAAGCACTGACGAAACAAAATAAAGTTCCGTGAATGATCAACAAGAAGATTCACACTTGCCCCCACAGCAACAATAAAAAAAAGCTTCGCCATTGGGAACCAGTGATTAACCAGCATGCAAGAGCAAGATTCTTTCTTTCCCAGCCTAGCTCTCTCTCAAGTTCCATCACCAGCCCAGCCTGCAAAGTCTACAAGTAGTAGGGTAGCAGCTACTCCTAGTACCTCACTAGCCTCTAGAGAGAGAGAGAGAGAGAGTGAAAAGGATCTGGAGAGAGATATGGAGAGAGAAGCATGCATAGGTAGGCTGAGCTACAAGGACGATGGAACCTTGGACAAAACCCTACACGATGTCCCGTCGTCTGACACGCCTGCGCCCCATTGGCATGGACACGATTTAACCTATCAAGAACACTCATCAAAGCCACATTCACACACAAAGCATCAAACACTTTCACACAATCGAATCCAAGGCTGCAGAGGACTGCGGCTAGCCGGAGAAAATCAAGGCGCGAGATGCAATGCATGTATGCATAATATGCATGCGGATTTTATACCGGAGTGCGGCGAGGTGGCGGTGGCTCCGCCGCCGCAGAGCTTCTTGAACTGCGAGCGGATGGTGGTGAGGAAGGAAGCGGCTTCGTCCAACGGCCGGGACAGCTCCACCTTGTACCGCGACAGCAGCCGGCAGTACGCCTCCTGCATCGTCATCTCCACATGTAATAACCAGCAAGAGCTAGCGCGCGAGGATAAGGGGAGTTAGCTGCCGTGAACTTGTTGTACCTACCATGAACTCGTCGAGCTCGGGGTCGAGGCCGATCTCCCCGGCGGCGGCGGCGGCGCCTCCGCCACGCCTCTCTGGCCGGCCGACCTCCTCCAGCAGCGAGGCTACCTCCGGCGTTGCTCCCACCTGACAAATCAAGAATCAACGTGGCAATTAATTCTTGGACGATGAGTGAGTGAGTGAACTAGCTAGCTCGAGCTACTTATGGACTACTACTACAGCATGCAAAATGGATTTGGACACGGACGGACCTTGCGGCATTCGATGTAGGCGGAGAGGAGGGAGGGGTAGCGGCGGTGCCCGGCGATCTGCGTCTTCATCAGCTCCGTCAGATCCGCCGGTGGCGGAGGAGGGGGAGGAGAGCTGGCATCACCGGCGACCCCTGACACCTCGCTGCAGGCCGCGTCGCCCTCGCCTCGGCGCGAGATCCCCGGGTGGATGCTGTACAGATCCTCCATCGATCTCCTTCTCCCCCAGGGTGGATGCTGTACTTATGCTTTTTGTCAGTTGGAGAATTTCAATCGACTACGGCGCCACGTAGTAGAGCGCGACGCTTGCGTGTGCGATACAATCATACTCGTACAACAGATGTTGTGCTACTTCATGCATATGCATGGTCGTGATCTTGGACACGCGCGGCCGATCGTTTGGTAGCCCGCGTATACTTCAGCCCGTGGCGAATCTTGGAAAAGAAAAATGAAGGGGTGCTCAAAGTGAACTGTGTGTAGAAAATGTTAAAAACTCTCAATTCTTTAGTCCAAATAAGGTTAAAAAACTGATATGAATACTAGTAATTTCTCTTTTCCAATTTTTGGAGGGGGCCTTGAGCCTGTCGGAGCCCCCCCGCTAGATTCGTCACTGATTTTAGCCAGGCTCGCACGGGAAGAAAATAACCCGTCTGGTTACCCGCATTCACTGTTGGGCTTGTATAGCACGAATATTAAAGCACACGAACATTAAAGCATATCTGGGTCTGCATGAAGAGAAACACTCAAATCGGTCATTTTTTGAAGCTAGACCCAAGCGGTGCAACTCTAAACACGTGGGTGTGGGCGGTTACACGCGTGGATGCGGTCCTGAGAAGTCGCGTTGTTTCCCGACACGTCGTCATAAATTACCCTCACCTTCCTTCCTCACCGCTCTCTCCCCTCTTTCCAACTCACACCGGCGGCGACGACCACCGAAGCGGCTGCAGACCTCCACCAGAGCGCATCGGCCATGGCGGTAAGTCCTCGCCCTCTCTATAGATTTACCGCTTTCGACTCGAGCTAGATTAGACGTGAGCACGCGATCGGAGAGTTAGGGAGGGGATTGAACACATCGTGGGTGGAGGATTGGATTAAAACACTGCCATCGATCGATTCTGCACGGATGACTTCCACACCCAGTGGGTGCTAGCGCGCCCCCACTGTTCAGCCGCAAAGACAAGAAGAGCAAGAAGACTCTACCGCAACCACGCGCTTCACGTCCTGCGTCCGCTCTTGATCATCCCGGACGAAGGTTTGCAGACGGCTCTCGCCTCCCCGGATCTGCTGGCGCGGGGCTTCCACCGCCGTGTCCTCCGGGTTCGCGGTCCGACGACAACCTCGCCGGCCTCCGCCCAGGGCTACTGCGGGCCGGCACCGGACCCGCTCTCCAACGCTCGCTCCGAGTTCATGATGACTTGCGGTGGCACCACCACCAGGGTATTGCCGCCTCCTATCGGCGCCCCGTGGCCGGCGTTGACCCCGGCGCGCTGTCCGGCGTCGCCTGCGCCGCGCCGGTCGGAGGGCGTCCTCCCCATGAGTTCCTCCCTCGGCCTCGTTCCCGGGCGGGGTGTCCACTATAATCTCCTTGATGTTCTCTGACTCGTCGCCGGCCAGCTACGCCTGCTCGTCCGGGTCAGAACCCTCCTCCATCAGCAGCCCGACGATCGTGTCGACCGGCGTCAGGCCTTCCCCCCACTCCGGCCAGGCCGGGTCCGCGGCGGTTCTCCCTCTCACCTCAGCGGCCCTTTGTCGGTGTCAAAACCGGCGGATCTCGGGTAGGGGGTCCCGAACTGTGCGTCTAAGGTCGATGGTAACATGAGACAAGGGACACGATGTTTACCCAGGTTCGGGCCCTTTCTATGGAGGTAATACCCTACGTCCTGCTTGATTGATATTGATGAATATGAATGTTACAAGAGTTTATCTACCTCGAGATCGTAATGGCTAAACCCTAGAGGTCTAGCGTGTATGGCTATGATAATCAGCCTCCTCTATCCGGACTAAGTCCTCCGGTTTATATAGACACCGGGAGGATCTAGGGTTACATAAGGTCTGTTACAAAGGAAGGAATCTACATATTCGGTCACCAAGTTTGCCTTCTACGCCAAGGAGAGTCTTATCCGGACACGAGTACAGTCTTCGGTCTTTGTATTTGTTGGGGAATGTAGTAATTTCAAAAAAAAATCTACGCACACGCAAGATCATGGTGATGCATAGCAACGAGAGGGAAGAGTACCATCCACGTACCCTCATAGACCGTAAGCGTAAGCGTTATGAGAACGCGGTTGATGTAGTTGAACGTCTTCACGATCCGACCGATCCAAGTACCGAACGCACGACACCTCCGAGTTCAGCACACGTTCATCTCAATGACGTCCCATGAACTCCGATCCAGCAGAGCTTCACGGGAGAGTTCCGTCAGCACGACGGCGTGTTGATGGTGATGATGTTGCTACCGACGCAGGGCTTCGCCTAAGCACCGCTACGATATGATCGAGGTGGATTATGGTGGAGGGGGGGCACCGCACACGGCTAAGGGATCAATGATCAACTTGTGTGTCTAGAGGTGCCCCTTGCTCCCGTATATAAAGGAGCAAGGGGGGGGGAGGCCGGCCGGCCCTCTATGGTGCGCCAAGAGGAGGAGTCCTCCTCCTAGTTGGAGTAGGACTCCCCTCTTTCCTACTCCTACTAGGAGGGGGAAAG